GTGGTATATCACCTGCTGTCCCTTCACCAGGTCTGCAAGGCAGACAGAGGGGCAGAAGTCAGGGAAACTAAGGTCAGGAGAGACGGGGCATTATGTTCTGCCTCCATATTGGATGTCTCTAGGATATTTAGATTTAGTGATGACCTCATCTGTCCTGAAACTCCAAAGTAATATGAGGGTAATGAACAATACTTAACCTCGTACTTTGGTACTCTCATTTTAAGCAGATGCTCTTTTTTAAAGATCAGATAACAGCAAAAGGGAACAAAACTATGGGTCACTATTATTTAACTAACACATGGAATCCGGGGCTAAATCATGATTTTTGGCAATTTGAAATCCATGCATAGTTGTTCTTTAGTATTTCCAGAAGGTTATATTATTATTCTTGTCATGTTTTAGAAACACTTGTTTTTCAACACCTGGGGTACTTAAAAGCTAAAGTCCAACCCCACTAAAGTCCTTCCCCACTACTTTGTTCTGTTCCCTTATTTGTGTTAAAATGCAGGTGTTTAGGGAATTTTTGTACGGGGAGTAGACACAGAAGCTGACGACTGGTTGATGTCTATGTCTGTCTCTCAGCATGGAGGCTTTGTGGCCCAATGGGAAAGAGCATCGGATCACCATCAAACACTGGAGTTCTCATCCTGGCTCAACTGCTTGCTGGCCGTGGAAGCTTGGGCAAAACCACCTTCTCCAGTTATCATCTTTGTAAAATGCTAACAATTCCTACTTGTAAAGTAGACTTAATAGACATTGACCATTTTTAGAGCTCCAGACATATCAGATGTACCCACACACAGCTCCTTCCATCTCAGGTGGTAGCTCCCCCAAGGCATATGCAGCACATGTACACGCCAAGAAAACCACTCCGAGAGCCAGGGAATGGCTCTTCGTTTGAAGCAGCTTTGCCCATACAAACACACATCTTCTAGGCTATGTTTTCGCCTTATCCTCCACTCACCTCGGACTGAATCATCTACAATATAGCCAGATACTTGTGGTTCGTTATCATACTCTTCTGCATAATCATAGTCGATCCCCGAGGACAGTTCCCTACTAGAAGGCGTTTCACTCACAGGGGAAATCTCCCTTCCTGAGGACCCATTTCTTGGGGTAACCTCAAATCCATCGGCACTGTGGTCCCCAGAAAATGGTTCCCCTTTCCCAGAGGAGGTGTCGTTGGCAGCTGATCCAGCAGCATAATGGGCTGTGGGAGAAAGAACAACGGGCGAAAAGAAAAGGTAGAGCAGAGTGAGTGCCTTTCTCACCAGTCAGCTGGGTTCAGGAGAAATGTTTATCTTCTGATATCAAAGCTGTTATTGCACATGTGCTATTGTTTGGGATTGAGTCACTTATGAAAGCATCTTCACATTCTGCCAACAAGCAAACTCAGCTGCTCCAATTTACAGAGCTGCTTTCATCGAGGTTTTCTTTTCCACAGACGGTCTCCATCACCTTCCACACCAAATAATGCTGCCAAATAGGCAAGTTCGTCTAATTACTGAACAGGTAATGTCTGTAGAGTCCCATCACCTCACACGCCAAATGCGTTTGTGTTTGCTAGAATGACCCACTTGAACGGATGGGTTCTAGATATAAATATCAGACTCTCTTAACACGTGTTCATATTTTTAAAAAGGTGACATACATAACTGTAAAACAACATAAATGCTATTTGATAGTAAGGACTCTTCCTGTCATCGTTTCATTATTCTTGTTCCTACCTAGGGAAGAACCTGGGGGGGGGGGGGGCAGGTGAGATTTGGGGGCCTAAAGTTTCAGGCCCCTGGTTTATCTAAAGGAGCAACAGGGTGGTGCTTTTACTTCTCCCTGGGAGGGCCTCTAGGAAGGTAAAGGTACAATCACTAGACAGAGGAGATGGAGATTTTAGGCAGGAGTCAGCGCTCCGCGTCCAGGACTTAACTACTCTAAGATCTGCGGAAATCGCTTCACCTTTCTGGACTCGGTTTCTTTTTCTGTAAAAGGCAGAATTTGGAGCACAGGATCTCTGAGGTCTCCTCCAGCTGGACTAAAGTAAAAAATTCGGGAACTCTCCGGCACCCTCTTCCTGACCTGGGACGTCAGAGGCACCTGCCCGCGTTTCTCCTCCTCCCCGGCAGTAACCTTGGAGAGGGCGCTGCCGTGGACGCCTCCCGCCGTGGGAGAAGCGCAGGCCGGCAGTTCGGAGCCGGGATGCCCTCACCTGAGCCCAGGATCAGGAGCGACAGCACCACGGGCGCCGGCGACAGCAGCGGGGCTCTCATTGGTCCCTCGGCGCGGCGGCGGCGTCGCGGTCTCTGGGGCAACTCGGCCGGGAGTCGCGGCTGGAACAGGAGGTGGTGGAAGAGAGAGCGGACAGGAGGGAGTGTGCGGCCGTGCTCGCCGCCCGGCCGGGCTCGGGCGCTGGACGAGCGCCTACAGCTCGCCTCGGGATCCCTCGGTTCCGACTCGGGCGCGGGCAAAAGGTGTGCGAACATTCCGGAGGCGCGGCGCGCACCTGCGGCTTTATAGGCCGGGCGGGGACCCGGGCCAGGCCCGTGACGTCACGGCCTCCGCTGTGGGTGGAGGAGGGCGGCTGCGCCACAAGAGGTTACTACCCCAAAACCACACGCGGATGGCAGGCGCCCCACCTCCCCGGAGCGTGGAGAGCCACCGGGAGGAAATGGAAATTAAACCCTAGCTGCGAGCTGAGAACACGCCCGCTCCACATTCGACGGTGGGAGTAGAGTTGGAGAGCTGGTAGCTGACAGTCAAAAGTCCCACTTTCTCAAACCACCTGAAGAACCTCCGTGTAGACTTTGGTTGGTCTTAATACTACAAGTGACAGGGATTGATTAGAAGAGTTCCCTGTTACGATGTAGAAGTACTTTAAGACCAAGAGTGACTTAGCAAGGAGAGGCTGATGTCCTTTAACAGGGATTATGAAGTTCGTGAAACGGCTAGAGAGAGCGCCCCCTAATGAGGAGCGGCTTTATTTATGATGGGCCCTTATCCGGACCGCGAGCCCTTTCTTCCCCACTGCTGGAAAGCGGCCAGAATTTCAAATCGTCTCCCCTCCCATTTGTCTGTGTCCCAAGGTCCTTATCAAAATGAGGATTTATTGACCATCTATCATTGCCAAACTATAACCGCTTAAAAGATGACCTGCACCGTCTCAGTCAGTAACCTTGCTGGTTAAGAATCATTTTCCCCTGTTTTACAAGGAGGACTTGACACCCCTGGTTATGGCAGAAACCAGATGGATTTAAGGTCCTCTGACTCTAAAATCTCTCTCCACTCTGATAAAGGAATTTGGAGTAAACCGATCTTTGGAAAGAGAGCTTCTGGGAAGAACAATACTTGGTCCTAAGGAATAACCCCTGCTGGGAGGGTATTGACGTTTAAATGAAGGGGGTGCCCAAGTCTGTGCACCACAAATCCCAGGATAAAACCACCGGCTTTGAGGAAGCCCAGTTAGAGTCTGGTAGGGCAGTTAATCCCAACAAGAAGGAAAAATGAAGAGGATGGGAGCTGCTCAATTCGAGTAACTTTGATGGAGACACAGCTCCAGAACTGGATTTTCCTTGACTTGAAAAAAAAAAAGAAAGCATCATTCTCCCTCTCTCTAACTGGTTCCTTGTCTTAAAGATACGTATCTCTTCCAGTGCAACAGCCCTTTTTGGAGTGTGGATCACAGTACATCTATCCTAATTCTGGGAAACTTTTGTAAAGCTACTTACTTTTTAATGGCATATGGAGGTCGTGGGCTAAATAATACCATACATTTAGCAGGATGAAATAAACAGTCGTGACTCATGCCTTCCCTTCAAGTCAACATTTGCTGAGAGTATATTTGTTGTCATCTGCTTGTTTTATTTTTTTATGTGGGGGGGGGGGGGGCGGGGTGGAGGCAGTAAAGAGAGCGATTCACTGATCACCGTTCCCTGCTCTCCAGAAGCTCAGTGTAGTGCGGGCCGGAAAAGTAATTCTGTTATGTCAGATGATAAGAAGGATTTGGACTGCCATGGAAAACAAGGATGCAGTTTAGTTTTGCTCCCCCGCTTAATGTCCTTACCAGCAGAAAGCTTAAATGGAAAGAACACCTCTGACACAGTATGCCCCAAAATGGAAAAAAAGACCAGGAAGACGGCACTGCCCATCCCAGGGTGAAGCAGGGACTTGCACCGTCATCTTTGTGGCTGGAGGAGAAGATTCTGATTCAGACAGATTCACAGCCTTGCCCGCAGATTTCAAAAGATGGCAGGGATTTTGTTCAGACTATGGCGCTGGTCTCCTCTCAGGCTTCGCTTTTGTTCTGGTCCCATTGTTCCCTTTACCTTACTCTTTCTTCTCAAGTGAGAGGAAGGCAAGTTGTGTGCTTGCGTCATCAGAAATGGTTCACTTTGAAGGGAAGTGAGTTCTTTACACCGGAAATTGCTTAGTCTTTTTACAACTGGAAATGTGGAGGGTGACGATTTCCGTTGGTATGGGATGGAACATAGAATTATAGGGGCAGATTGCTAGTGCTTAGTATGAGCTGTAAATTCACACCAGTTGGGTAATCATGTACAAATTCCACCACAAACTAAACCACCTAATATTTGAAAGACTCGGGTTCCTCATCTGAAAATAGAAATAAAGCTACCGATCTGCTGTTAAGCAGATCAAATGAGATAAGATAACCTATGCAAGCAACACAAAACCTGGCAAATGCCGAGTGCTCAATACATGGCAACTATTATTATTAGCCTTGGCATTATGATAGGTACATTCTATTAATCACATTGAAGAACCAAGTGACTCTTATAAATGGAGCTACTCACAGAGGAAGTGAAATAATCTTCAGTATTTTCAAGCCCATGAACTTTGTACCTACTTCCCATTAACTCTAACCATTTTGAACATTTTATGGTTCATCATCGGGTACCATGGGGCGTCATAATGGTTGCATCACAGTGTAGCACCCCTGATGACTCACAGCATTCTGGAATTTGCACATGAGAGGGAAACCTTCCCCATGTCATGTTGGATACTCTACATTCTGCATGCTAAGCAGAGACAGGGAGGAACAACTTCAAGAAATTCAAGTAGAATTCAAGTAGCTACTCTTCTTTATCTTGAACAATTGATGGTTCCCACACCTACTAGGAGGCTAAAGGCAGCTCTGTGGGCCAGTGCTCCCAGCCAGCCACTCACTTTGAAGTCTAGTATCCGGATCCTGATAATATTTTAAATGTATAATAGAAACAAACTCACTTTGACTCTGCTAAAAGGTGTGCCATAGAACCCAAGAATAATCATGTGTTTGTTCATATAATTGATCTTGAGTTTTTATAGAGAGGGCCAGGTCTGAGTCAACCCATGAAACCCTCAACTAAAATTAAGAAATTCTCTCATGTATAAGTAACATTCCCTATATTATTAACAAATGCATTGGCTCCATTTAGATGTCTGTAATTTTCTACTCTTCACCTGCGAATTTATCCATGCTAAAGAATATATAATTTCTAGTTTCTTCAAAAACAGGCCTTCCATGAATTTGATTTGTTGGGTACCTTGACATACTAGTAAAATAAAAGTACTTGGCCCTTTAAAACCTTAACATGATGGCTTTTGCAGAGCAGTAACTAGCAGATGGGACGGAAGGCAGCAGACTGTTTGATACAGTAGGAACTAGGCAAATGTAACATACAATTAACTGCATTTAAACACACAAGAAACAAATGCTCTAGGTAGTTCATTTACTCATCAAATACATTTTGAGAACTAGGTCCTCTTCTAGGCACCGGGGATAAAACTTTGAATAAGTCATAATGTCTTCATTTTTAGGGACCTTGCATTCTATTAAGGGGAAACATATAATAAGCAAGGGAACCATACATAAAATAATTTTAGGCCATGATGCGCTTAGAAAGGAAATAAAATATGTGATCTGGAGGGCTTGGGATGGTGGAAGAAGATGATAAAAGGAAATTCAAGATAGCCCCTACAGTAAAGTAGTTCACAGTTTCTCTCTCCAGGAAACGGGGCAGGATAAAATGGAGAGGAGTATTCTTTGGAATAATAACAGCTGTGGAAAGCAGAGATAGGCAAGGATAGGAACGAGAGATAGAAATAAGCATAGACAAGAAGAATGAGGGATGCTGAACGATGGATGCCTTGAATGGAGGAGCCTCAAAAGTATGGAGGATTTGGAAACATTGCACAAGAATTCATTCCAGGGGCGCCTGGGTGGCTCAGTTGGTTGACTGTCTGACTGTTCAAGTCCCACATCGGGCTCTGTGCTGACAGCTCGGAGCCTGCTTCGGATTCTGTGTCTCCCTCTCTCTCTGCTCCTCCTCTGCCTGCACTCTGTCTCTTAATTATAAATAAATGTTAAAAAAAAAAAAATTAAAAAAAAAAAAAAGAATTCACTCCACTAGTCACTTCTCAAACACCCCTCTTAGCCCTGCTGACCAGAGCTCTCCAGCTCTTAACCAAAAGTCAGATAAACAGAATAACCTGAGAACCTTTTCTAAATGTACACTCCATTCTCCCATCTCGATTCCGTAGGTTTGGTGTGGGGTGCAGGCCCACGTGGTATTTTTTTAAAGAACCTCCAAGAAAATTCTGATGTGCCCTTGGGACTAAGAACTACTCCACTAGGGGATACATAAGTGAAAAATAGTCGAGGTACACTCAGAGAGAGTGTGAACTAGCAGGATGGCACATTCATGTACGTGGAAATTTTGCCGGAAATGTAAAGGAGGGAGAAATGAATTTCAACAGGAAGCATGTAAGTGTAATGAAGACATTTATCTCTGAGGAACTCATGTTACAAACTGACTCACATGCAATTCCTTTAAACACGACACTACGCTAGTGGAATAAAAATGCATCTGAATATATGAAAAAGAAAAAAATCCACTTTGCATGTAGTTTTCAGAAACCAGTTTGTCACATCGGTGGAATCATATCTATGCCAAATTATTGTGGAATCTCACTACCTCCGGTCTGAGTGTAGTAAGGTCGGAAAACAGAATGTCTGTAAGTATCATACACCGAATTAGGAAACATGTCAAACTTGAGTATTCTATTAATGCTTTATGACTTTAGGATTTCAGATTAATATTTGGCATTTTGTTACTTCAGAAATTAATATATCAAAGTCAGATGGCTGAACTAGTCAGAGTCCTATGAAAGATTTTTATGGACTACAATTAGTCTTTAAATAATCATATTCTTGATTTTATTAGTTATTTCAGAAAACGTTTTGTACGTACTTAACCTTTCTTTAGTGCATGTCTACGTTTTAAAATTTTCTTGTATTTTCTTTTGCAATTTACCAGGTACCACACATTCAAAATTATGCGATGACCACTTTTTCATAGTTTCTGAATGCTCCTATTTGCCCCATCATTACTTAAAAATTGACAATAATAGGGGCACCTGGGTGGCTCAGTCAATTAAACGTCCGACTTGGGCTCAGGTCAGGATCTCATGGTTCGTGAGTTCGAGCCCCGCGTCGGGCTCTGTGTTGACAGCTCAGAGCCTGGAGCCTGCTTCGGATTCTGTGTCTCCTTCTCTCTCTGCCCCTACCCCCTCACTCTCTGTCTCTGCCTCTGTTTCTCTCTCTCTCAAAAAATAAATACACATTAAAATTTTTTTTAATTGACTATATTTGCATACCTCTAAAAGTTATGTAATCCTATTATCACCGACCCATAGTTGAAGTATTCTTGTTATGAATTTAGATAGTCTCTTTAAATGTCTTTTTCAACTTTTAGCAGGGTTAGGCTATCTTATGTATAGATTTTGTTGTATTTCCCCATAAACACAATAAGCTTCTGTTTCAAGTTCAATGAGAATAGGCGGTTTTAAATTTCGTAAGTGAATAAATGACTAATTTGTTGAATAAACCACTCCTGTACAGTCTGTCCTATGCAGGGATAGGGTAGGCCACAAAGAAACAGGCCTTTGGATGCCATGCTTCTGGAACTTTCTGAATGTGTGTATTAAAATTTTATGACCATAACTAAAAAAAATTGTAAGTTCATTTGGAAGAATCCAGACAAAAGTAGACCTCATAGGAAAAGAGGGATTCAAAATAAAGTTATAAATCTTGTAAATATCAAGTGTGTCCCTTAGTATTCTTCCTGGAATCACTATTTTTGTCTTAAACCTGGATTTATGTACTCCCAAATTATTTGGTCAGGTATGCAGAAGATGTGATTTTGCTCCTAGCTTTCTTTCCTTCCATAGGAATTCCAAAAGTCATTAGTTTTGTAACTTCTCAAGATAACAAATATTCCAAGAACATAGTTTTAATATCAAATTGCTAGGTAATTCCGGGATTCTCAAGCACTACCTTGTATGACTATAAGGAAACACTTGGCCTTTTGAAATAATTTCTTTTAATGTTTATTTATTTTTGAGAGAGAGACAGAGAGACAAAGAGCAAGTGGGGCAGAGAGAGAGGGAGACACAGAATCCAAAGCAGGCTCCAGGCTCCTAGCCGTCAGCACAGGGCCCAACGCGGGGCTTGAACTCACAGACCATGAGATCATGACCTGGGATAAAGTCAGATGCTCAACTGACTGAGCCACCCAGGCACCCTAGAAATACTTGGCTTTTCAACAGTACAACTGGCCTGAACTAATCATGACATAATGATGAGGGAGTACTACTTACATGATAGAAAAAAATTTTAAAGGATTTTTTTAAAGAAATATAAATTTGGTCATTTAGTCTTATCTCAAAGATGGTATTTACTAAAATTCTTACATTTATTTAAATAGAAAAAAATAGAAACTTTGAAGGTATGTCTTGCCTAAAATTATGTCTTTGGAAAAAGTCATGTAGCTTGCCCTTTTAAAAGTTATTGTAACCATCAGGTAGCTTAAGGATATAAGAACATAAGGATATAAGAACATAAATTCTATGTTAAATATTGTGTTTCCACATTTGCTCAATTTGGAGATTTGAGGTTATGTCTCTACTAATTTATGAAATGTGCTTCGTTTTTATTTTCCTTACCAATATTTCAATCTGCACAAAATGATTACTTTCAATGATATTTTCTTGGAAAAACCTAAACGTGTAACTTTTGAAGTGTAACACACACACACACACACACACACACACACACACACACGAGGAAAGAGAACAGGATAAGAGAACAGTATAAGAGCAAGTCTGCGTTTTTAAAGAATCCATTATTTTTAAGAATAAAAGAAGGAAAGAGAGGAAAGCTTTATAGACAAACGTCATTAACATTTTAAGAAGTATGTGAGGGGAGCCTGGTGGCTCAGTTGGGTAGGCGCCCGACTTTCGCTCAGGTCATGATCTCACGGTTCTTGGATTTGAACCCCATGTCAGGTTCTGTGCTGACAGCTCGGAGCCTGGAGCCTGCTTCCAATTCTGTGTCTCCCTCTCTCTCTGCCCCTCCCCCACTTGCTCTCTGCCTTTCTGTCTGTCTGTCTCTCTCAAAAATAATAAACGTTAAAAATAAATAGATAAATAATACCTGTTATGTAAAACATTAGCAAAACAGTGTGTACAGTGTGAAACTCATGTAATGCATTTACAAATATTTATGTATATATTATATATAAATGTGTATATACAGATATACATGCACAGAAACATTCTGAGAGAATATATGAAGTGTTAAGAATGTTTATCTTTGGTCAAAAAAATAATTGCTTTCCTGGAGTTCTAATAAGTGTACAAAGATCAGGTATTTCTTCTATTTTTAAAAAATATTTTAATCTTTTTTATTTTATTTTTGAGGGAGAAAGAGAGAGACAGAGCATGAGCAGGGGAGCGGCAGAGAAAGAGGGAGACACAGAATCCGAAGCAGGCTCCAAGCTGTCAGCACAGAGCCCGACACAGGGCTCGAACTCACAACCATGAGATCATGACCTGAGCTGAAGTCAGCGCTCAACCGACTGAGCCATCCAGGAGCCCCTCTTCTATTTTTTTTAAAGTAAAAACCCCAATCTAGGCATGACCATTTCCCAAGGAAGTTGATTTGACATGATTTCTATACTCAGTTACATCAGTTTTTCCAAAGAGGATGTCAAATTTGAAAGAAAATGTTCACTTGAATGTCTGCTTTCCCGCAATCTCCCTACCCTAGTAAATTGCTCCCGACTATGCTTCCTTTGCCCGGTGGGGTAGGGAGAAGGTAGAGTGAGGTGCTTAAGGCTTTAGCATCTCAGGCTGAGACTACTGGATTTTAGTACAGTTCTTCCCCTTACCAACCAGGGTAAATCAAACACTTTATGGCTTTAATGTCTCATCTCAAAAAAAGGGAGATAGATGATAATAACAGTGACTAAATCATAGGGTTCTTGTGAGGTTTAAATGTGATGATTCATGTAAAACACTTGGAACAGCATCTGACCTTTCATGATGACCCCAAATATCTTATGTATTATTATTATTGTTATTGTTAATAATATTGATACCAATGAAGAAAGTACTAGGGGTTGCAATGAAAAATTTTTCAATGCATATTTGTGGACACAGATAAATTACTATGTTGATTTAATTTAGCTAAATATTTATTGACATACTGATTTCATAACTTGAGGACTTCTGCTTACTGTGGCAGATAGGTCTGTAAGAATTCAAAAACCTTATTTTACTTTTTTGAAAAGTTTACTTATTTTTGAGAGACAGCATGAGTGGGGAGCCACAGAGAGAGAGTGAAAGAGAGAATCCCAAGAGATTCCCATGCTGTCAGCGTGGGGCCCAGGATAGGGCTTAAACTCAGGAACTGTGAAATCATGACCTGAACCAAAATCAAGTGGGTTGCTTAACCAACTCGGGTGCGTGGGAGCCAACCAAGCATCCCTGAATTCAAAAATTTTAGAACGATGAGGGCAACGAGTGAACTCTGTTATTTTAAGGTCTTGTTGCAAATAGCCTACATTGCTGATTCCAGGAATATGACATTTCCAGAGCATTTCTTGTTCTAAACATCAAAAATCTTTGTGGAATGATTCTTTCCTTGCTTTCTTTTCCTTTCCTTTTTTTTTTTTTTTTTTAGCTGTTTGATAATTCCTACCCTGTAATGTCATCAAACCATAATTTCCTAAAGAATCAGGCCATTTATGCTTGTAAATACATTGCTTGTAAGTGAAATTTCTTTTTTCACCATTAACTAACCCAATTGACACCGAAGTAACAGAAAGAGTTATTTTTTCAATCCAAATTACTATGTCAATAATTTTTTCATAAACCCTACTTGATCAATACCCATTCTCATCTTTTCCCTTTGTAAAACCCTGGTATTGTTCAGACTGGCAATGTGCCCAGCTAACACATAACATTTCCCACGTTTTCGTGAAGATAATACTGGCCACAAGACTAAGTTCTGCCGGTGAGGTCTGGTGAGCTCTAAGCAGGAGTGATGTGTAGATTTTCTTGGAAGGCTTCTTAAAGGGATCTGATGAAGGTGGGAACCACTCCTATCATCCCTCTGTCTTTACTCCTTTCCAGTTGCCTGGACTATGGACACTTGGCTGCATCTCCAGGAGTCATACTGGTGGACCATGAACTGACCCTGAATCTGGAAGGCACGTGCTAGAATGGTGGAAGAGAAAGAAAGAGCGAGCCCAAATCCCTGATTTGGAGCTACCACATCAGCCCTGTACTCTTTACCTTCAGACTTCTTTTATATAAGAGAGAACACTTCTTTTATAAGCCACTTATTTTAGGTTTACTGATATATGCAGCTGAGCCCAATATTAAATGATTTCTTAATCAATAAACTTTTGTATTTATTATGATACTCCCTTTCGTGTCACGGTCCTCCAGCCAAAGACCACCAGGGACACGACTGAACAAGTTACAGTGAGGAAGAATGTGCAGCTTGGGGAACTGTGAATTTTTCAGTAAGAGATATTGTAGAGTAAGTGTTAGAACATACAGGATTGGGTTTGGGTTAGGTAATTTGGAGGAGGGTTGAAGGAATGACATTTTGCTCTGGAATGGCTACTGTCAGGAAGTGAGCATAATTTCATGATTGGGTATCTTAATAGATCTTACAGAAGTAGAGAGGCTAAAGCTGTAATTGTTAAAGAACCAGCCATCACCCATAGAAATCAAGAGAGGAGGGTGTTCGGTGAGTGCTGTGGCTTGGACAGTGTTTATGTTTTGTTTGTGCTCAGACATAATTATGGAAGGTCTTGCTTTTACCATAATCCATCATGGCCACAGAGTGGCCTTGTTTGATGTTGATGTGCTGTGAAATTGTTTACGTTCAACAGGAGACCATCAAGGCCACGGTGATAGTCCTAGACCAGCTCCTGGATGTCAAGGGATGCTTTTTTCTTTCTCACCTGTAACTGGGCTTGGTGCAGGTTAGGGGCTCCATTAGGGTCAGTAAAATGAAATGAATGAAAATGCTTAGTAAGCAAATCAAGAAAATCTGGTTTCACAGTTGCCAAGGTAACATTTGAATGAACTTACCATCATTTTTAAATGATTTTTTTTTTCACATAAGAAAACTCTGTAGTCATTAATTTGGGTACCAAAGTTAAGTGAAACAAGATGCTTGAAAAATCTACCTAGAATGAGAGCTAACTACATCCAACATGGATAGTTTGCAAGAATAGGAGAATATTCTCTTTATCTGTTCATCACCATTCATTCCTAGAACAATGTTATATATGTTGGATGTTCTCAGTAAATAACATTATTTATTACTGTATACAGTACCTGAGATAAGAACAGAAATCCATGAAGTGCTTCCTACACTTAAAAAAAAACCCTCATAATTTATTATTAATTCTGAAACTATTAATTTGGGTTTGCCTTTCTTTTATAGTAAGAGGTGACTCTGACTGGAAAGAGTACCTTTAAGTTGTAAATATTATCAAATAATTTAGATAACATTTATTGAGAGTTTGTGCTGTAAGCACTTCATAGATTTTACTTCAGCTGACCTTCATAAAACCCTTTAAATAAACGTTATCGTCTCCATGTAACAGATGAGGAAATCAAGGGTTCACATAACTTGCTGGAGGTCACGTGTTTACTTCATAGAGGTGGAATCCAACGTAGGTCTTTTTGACCCAAAGCCCATTCATTTAATCACTATTACATATAATGTCTAGCATAGCATTAGGCATATAGTAGGTGCTTTTCAGACATTTTTAAAATGGAAACTGCTTGATAAACTCAAATGCTGATGATACCATAGTGTAAAAGAACCCAGAAATACATTGACCTCTGAGTTTATAATAACTAATAGAACAGATATGTGATGTGAATAGAGTAGTTGTGAAATGAGTGTATATGCAAAATAAGTCTAAAAGATTAAAATGGCTCATAGACCTGCAAGACACTGATTGTTTTAATAAAATCAAAGGACAAAAGTGCCAATCAAAAGGGAGATTTAAAGTTGGCTCTGTGCATCCAAACACATTTCCAGGAGTGATCTTCTTGGGCTCAAGGAACCCCTCTCTTATTCTGGTAGCTGATACACCATTATTGAAAGAGTATATATATCCAACTCACTCATTTTATCTCACCTTGATGCTTTTGCAACTCCTGATTAGAATTTGTCCTCTTTTCTCGTTGTCCAAAGTCTCTGCAGGCTGGAAAAATTCCGCAACCAGGCACAACAGTCATAATTCTTACTGTAAATTACTAAATTGACGTCTGGATTTCTATCTCACTGTGCGAGTTTGGTCAGACCATCTCTGAAAGTCAGATTTGTCCTTCAAGAATGCCCACAATGGGGGCGCCTGGGTGGCTCAGTCGGTTAAGCGTCCAACTTCGGCTCAGGTCATAATCTCATGGTCTGTGAGTTCGAGCCCCGTGTCGGGCTCTGTGCTGACAGCTCAGAGCCTAGAGCCTGTTTCCGATTCTGTGTCTTCCTTTCTCTCTGACCCTCCCCTGTTCATGCTCTGTCTCTCTCTGTCTCAAAAATAAATAAACATTAAAAAAAAAAAAAAAAGAATGCCCACAAAGGTGTCCCGAACCTGCAAGTTATTCATTCACCCATCCAACACCTCTTACTTATTAAGTGTTACTATGTATTACGTATTATTATGTGTTACCTATTATATCCCAGGCACTGTGAGAAGCCTGGGAATCCAAATACGAACAAGACAATCCCTTTATTTATTTTTTTTTTAATTTTTTTAACGTTTATTTATTTTTGAGACAGAGAGAGACAGAGCATGAACGGGGGAGGGGCAGAGAGAGAGGGAGACACAGAATCGGAAGCAGGCTCCAGGCTCTGAGCCCTCAGCCCAGAGCCTGACGCGGGGCTCAAACTCACAGACCGCGAGATTGTGACCTGAGCTGAAGTCGGACGCTTAACCAACTGAGCCACCCAGGCGCCCCAAGACAATCCCTTTAAATAACTTACAGTACAGAAGCAGATATGGACAAGTAGCAGATAATTAGAATGCACGTGATTAGGTGGCATGAGAAAATGACTAAAGAAGTGACATGGCACCTTGAGATCTACATAGTGTGGGAATGTAGCCTAGACTTGGGAGATTCAGCAAGACTTCCTGGGAGAAATGACATCTGGAAAGGATGAGTTGGACTGGCTAGGTGACAAGTAGGCGATTGTATGTGTAAGCTTATTGTGGGAGTGGGGGTGAGGGTGAGGAGAATGGTAGTGTTCCAGGCAAGGGAACTGCATTTACAAAGGTCTGTATCTAACCAGGAGCTGGGGACTAGCTGCTGACAGAGCCCCATCTATGAGCTGGCCAGGTCACTGTCAGCAGTCTTAAAGTTATAATGAAATCCATCTAACTCTTAAGACATATAATGGCTCATTTCTTTTTTTATGTTTAGTTATTTATTTTTGAGTGAGAGTGAGCATGAATGGGGAAGGGACACAGGGAGACAGAGAATCCTAAGCAGGCTCTACACTGTCAGCACAGAGCCAGATGTGGGGCTCGAACTCACGAACCGTGAGGTCATGACCTGAGCCGAAACCAAGAGTCAGACACTCAACTGATTGAGCCACCCAAGCACCCCTATGATGGCTCATTCTTACAGCAACAAATACTCTTCTTCTGTGACCCCTTTTCTTTGTTACAAGCCGCATAAACAGACAGGAAACCCAAGCCCAGGCATTCAGTAGTACACTTCTGGGCTTGATCCTTGATGACATCATCTTGCTTTGTTTTCCTCATGTTTTGAGAAAGACTGTTACCTACCAAGAACTGTTGCTGTGGCAGTTCTATTACACATGAGTCATTCCGGAGACCTTAACATGTGTAGCACCCTTCATGCATTTAAGAGTTCTCAATACGTGTACTGTTTGCAAATGACACACAGTTCAGGGATTTGGAGCCCGCAGTTGAAAGCCTCTAATAGGATTCTGTAAAATTTTGTAGGAGGAATTAACAAATGACTTTTACAGCGTAAGCTGAAGACAACATTCTTAAGGATCTCAACGTGCAAAGGGCAAATTTTAGATGAGAATAATATTGGGAATAGTACAGAATAATAAAAATGCTGACAGCTCCTGCATCTGAAGGCTTAGGTGTGTGCGTCATCCCGTGTTGATCTGCAGGAATGCCAGTGTAGGGTAGGACAGTGAGGGTAGCAGCCCCTAAATCATTAATGTGCCTTAGAGCCACCTTATGATAATCAGGTATTTGTTTTAAAGACATTTACCTTTGACTTCTTATACACTCAAGATGTCCAACGCAGGTCTTGGAAAAAACCAAATTCAAAATGCTTTGCTTATGAAACAAGAAAGCTTTTATTTTTTTTTTTAAGTTTATTTATTTATTTTGAGAGAGACAGAAACAGCGTGAGTCAGGGAGAGGCACTGATGGAGAGAGAGAATCCCAAGCAGTCTCCTTGCTGTCAGTACAGAGCCCAATGCAGGGTTCAAACACACAAAGCTGAGAGATCATAACCTGAGCCAAAACCAAGGGTCGGACACACAACCAACTGATCCACCCAGGTGCCCTGAAAGAAAAACATCTTTTAATAAATATAAAACCCAAAACTCATGGAACCGAGCCTCCTGAAATTCTTTTTTGGAATGTCAGGGAATAAAAATCACTGACAAAACCACAGAATGAAAAAAAAATTTTTTTTAATTTTTAATGTTTTTTTTCTTTTGAGAGTGAGAGAGAGAGAGAGAGAGAGAGCAAGTGATGGAGGGGCAGAGAGAGAGGGAGACACAGCATCCAAAGCAGGCTCCAGGCTCTAAGCTGTTCAGCACAGAGCCCAACGCGGGGCTTGAACCCACGAACCATGAAATCATGACCTGAACTGAAGTCGTATGCCTAACCGACTGAGCCACCCAGGTGCCCTTAAAGCACAGAAATTTTAACAAGTTGTTATATTCATTTCAGTCTTAAATTTGCAGATTAAGCTTTAGACATGATTACACCAATCAAGTGTATACTTGACCTTAGCAAAAAGGCCGAGAAGTGATTCCATCGAGGGTAAAAGTGTACACGAAATAACTCATAAAGACTTTCTGCCTCCACTATCACTTCCCACCATGCCGTTTCTCAGATGCAACCCTTGGTATCCATTTGCTTTCGGTTCTTCTGATGGTTATTGTAACTTTATATAATACAGTGGTAGCTCTATTCTTGACTTAATCTGGTTTATACATTATTGAGCTTGACCAGGAAGAGAAATGTAATAACTGACACTACCTCTCAGTTTCATTTGGTTCCCATATGTTGTAAGTTATAATTGTATTTTTTTATTTGTTGCCTTTATGACTTTAAATAAGATATTTAAAACATGACGTTGGATTTATTGACCTC